ATAGAGCTAACTGCATTTACATGCACTCCTCCTTTCAGCCCTTTTCAATATTCTTTTCTATTGGATTCAGCAGCAGATATAAAGGGAAAACACACAACCAGGCTATTTTTAATAGAATACCCCAAATTCCTGCATGCAACCAGTTGAGATTCAAGAACATACTGTATCTGTGTAAGCATGTGAAGCAAAGATTTACAAATAAACAATCCTGTGATTATCTGTTCTCCTGAAATTCATGTTTCTTGTTTAAAGTTATACTAACATGCTCTGTTAGGTAACTACATGAGAAACAGTTTGTAGAATATCTCTGTATAATCAGGATACTGTCAGTTTTACAAGGAACTTCCTTTTTTTCTTTTACAAACAGTTACCAGTTCTGTACTTTAAGAGGTAACAAGGAAGATATTAAGAATGTTTTCATAATCAAACCACTGGACCATATTCTGATGAGATATGTTGGTGTACCTTTCCTAGAGCAATTTTTGAACAATACCTGTATAAAACTCTATCTTCATTTTTTAACATGGATGATCAAAAGACAAACTTTGTTACTTGTGTGTTTGTACTGTGAATTCCTTGTACCAGAGAACAGGTGTCTTCCCCATGCTTTCTGCCCAGAACAGAGGTAATTTGTAGTTATTAAAAAGCTTAAGAACTCCAGTAAAGATCAAATAAGTAGTAATGGATGCCTAGCTTTGACTCCATATCAACTATGAAAAATAAAATACTATTAATTCACTTCTAGCCTCTCTCATACAGAGTTGTGCTAACATTACTTGTACGTAACACATCACTTGGTGCCACAGCTTATCCTTTGCCCCACATAAGTATTCCTCCACACCGAAAAAATTTCTGCAGGATTAGGTGATTATAAAAAAACATAACAGTAGCTAATTTTGATGTGGAGCTTAATTTTCTGCATCTTTAAGAAAAAAAAAAGAAATCCCCAAATGCACTTTAAACTGTTTTTCGTGTCTTTACTTACTTTGTTTTTACTTAGTACTTGCTGATGTGCCATAAAGCTTTTAATTCTTGGTCTCATTCATAAATATTAACAGAAACTGTTCTGCTCATAAGACTAATTTTATTTGGAAATTGGAGAATCTGCTCTATTCTTTAATAATTCATAATTTTATACAATGATCAGAGTAGCTAACAGTATGATTCCTAAAAATAAATCACAAGTATTGAAACTACCTTCCAATACTCTAAGTATTTACCATTATACAAAATACAGGCACATTGGCTTTGCAAATTAAAGCACTCTAAGTGAATACGGCTTCAAAGCAAAGATTTTTAGGAAAGCTATTCAGGCAAGTGAAATTATTTTTAGTACTGTTTGCTTGTTGTGTGTCTCTTGCCTCCCCCCTCGCCCACCCCAGTAACTATGATCGTGCCTGCTGGCAAGGATAGGAGAGCTATGAGTCGTCTCAGCAAAGGTCTGGAATTTGAAAGCTAGTTCAGATTTTCAATTGTGTACATTGTATGTATGATAAACTCAAGAGTATTACATCTTAGGAACATTGTAATGTTATACTCCTTGGTTTAGCTAAGGTGCAAAAAGTGCTAACTGGTCTGTGAACAGAGCTATTAGACTCTACCACCTTGAGCGCGAACATAACAAGCAGGGGACGCAGGAGCTGGAGAACGCTATCAATCTGTACCCGTCCCAAAGCAGACAATCTGAAGTGGCTGGGGGGGGGGCCAG